GACGCAGTAATCACCCACTAGGTGCGCGACTCAGGACTGATCTAAGATACTTGGTGGCAGAGGGGCCGGGAAAAATGCTTTGATGATTATGAGAGAGTGAATAAATACGTGACAAATCTACACCAAATAAGCCGCCGTGAACTGTCGGGGGGAGACTAAGTCAAGCGAAGGCCCCATTAGTAATCAACTGAGGCGTGTAAAATTCACTTTTTATTGTAATTGGAATCTAGCGCGATCCAATTCTGCCCGCCCGTGAGCTGAGCCAGTAGCGATAAGGCATGATGGATAGAATAGGATTCCAATTACCCTAAGTGAGTGCCCCACACGTACTCTGCTGAAAGGCTTATATACTTCACTTGAGAGGGTACAAAACAGGCCTATCGCGACGTACTGACGACCGGTAATGACCATGTAACAAAAAGTTTTTTTTTCTAACTGGTTTTTGCAAATGCTGTCTAAAAAAAGATGGAGAGTAGTTGGCGAGCATACGTAGGCTTTCGATAAATTCTGATCGGGCGATAACATTTATATTCGAACGGGGTATCAATTAAGCAAGCGGTTAATAATGTTCGCCTTTTTTAAAGCGAGTCGTGGGAATCGGGGGGAAGGGGTCGATAAGATAAGGAGAGTAACGCGGGAAGGGCATGATGGAAGCAGTTAAGTGGAGGGGGGTGAGAGACCAAGATAGCGCGGACGAGAACATGCAGCCACGCTTGTTCGCCAACCACTCTTCTGAACTCTCTGATGGGAATGTTTGCGACGTTAAAAAAAAAGATGGACCGGAAAACGCAATTCAGTTTATGTTTATCGAGGCTCAGTGAGAGTGATGGTACTAAGCCTGTAACAGAATGCGCACGCGCCAAGATAAGGGGAGACGTGCTGCAGGTTATTGCTCTGCGTGAATACGACAGCCTTAGTCAAGAAGGCCGTAGCCTTCCGGTTGGAGGCTAAACAAGCACTGTGGATAAGTGCGTTCAAGAATAAGGACATGTTTCCTCAGGCTCTGAGCTAGATACATTGGCACGGGTTCAAATAAGTATATGCAGGCAGTGGAATGTTTGCCGCATCCATCATATTTCGGGCAACTTCCATCAAGGAATCGCTGTTAGACAAGCGTCTTGAAAACTTCCTGCGAAAGAAGAGTAGCTACGATCCTGGGTGCGGGAGGGAGGCCTCCAAACACCATCTGAGACTTCGATTTCAACAGTAGAGAGCCAACTAGCCTGCTGACTTTTAAACAAAACATGC